TAATTGACCATGACTAAACACAGGAGTAGGCAAATACAATCCAACACTATCAAGAGATTGACCTTGTGACTTATTAATTGTCATTGCATAGGAGACAATAATCGGAAATTGTCTCCTAATCAACTTGAATGGCCAAGGTGAATCAGAAGGTGACATAGACATTCTTGGAATGTAAAAAATGTTACCTATGTTATTTCCAGACATGATTTTTGCCTCAATGACATGATTTGCAAATCTTGTAACAATTAATCTTGTTCCGTTGCACAACCCATCGGCTTGGTCCAAATTTCTCATTAGCATAATAGGTGTACCAACCTTCAATTTGATCCTATGATTGGGAAGCCCTGACGTTCTTAATTTACTGAGAAATTCAGGAGTTAGAACTTCATATGCTTCAGTATAACTTGAATCTGTTCTATCAATGGAATCAAAACTCAAATACTCTTTCTCTTCTCCTAAAAAAAAGTTTAAAAGCAAAACATAAATAAATTAGTAAAACTATGTTCTTAATATATATATATATATATATATATATATATATATATATATATATATATATATATATATATATATATATATATATATATATATATATATATATATATATATATATATATATATATATATATATATATATATATATTATGAATGTAATAATACAGTAAATATAAAACACATGTACCTGGTATCAAGTCTAATACATAATGATTGATTTTGTCCACAACTTCAATGGTTGAAGCAAGAATAGTCTTTCCTTGTAAGAATTCAACATCTTGATATTTTTCCAACAAATTGGGATATGTGTTTTCAACAATTGCTCTTATAGGATCATTAAAATTTGATATTAATAGCTCTCGAGGAATTTCAATATCAACCAAACCATCATTGGGTTCATAAATCTTACCATCACCCACATTTAAAATCCATTTTGAAAATTCCGCTAGTTCATTAGAACTTGTGTTGTCTCTTCCCTCTTGAAGTCTCATATTTTTTTATAGTGTTAAAACCTGGCAATAATCTCATACATAAGATGAACTAATTGATGCATGAACAATATCAGAACGCCCAGCTCTTGGAACAACAGGAAGAATCTGTCTAAAATCTCCTCCAAATACAACAACTTTTCCACCAAAAATAGTATTCTCAACACCCTTTTTGCTCATTACATCTTTAAGGGTTTTATCCAATGCTTCGAAGCAGTTCTTGTGAGACATAGGTGCCTCATCCCATATTATCACATCCGTTGCTTCAAATAATTGAGAATGTTCGGTGTCTTTGTCGATGTTGCAAGTTGAGTTGTCAAGCGTTGGCACAGGTATTTTGAACTTTGAGTTGTCAAGCGTTGTCATCTTAAATTTATTTATTCAACAGTGATAATTATGTGTCTCTTAGTTAATTACATTTATAAATAAATATCGTGTATTAGTGATATATATTAAATTTATTATCTTAATGTCTAACTAATTAAAATGAATTTATTATTGTCAATCAAAAATTATAATATTAAATAATAATATAATATTATTATTATATACGGGAAAAAGAATAAATTAAATCTAAGAATATCGGAAAATTTATTATAATATTAAATAATAATTTAACATTTATTATTACAATGAATCATATATAACATTTCAAAATTATGTATTTATTTCTTATGTTTTATTATATTCGATTTGTAATAAATATTTTTCAGTTTATTGCGAATTTTCAATAATTAAATATTAATGATATTATATAAAATTAATTTCATGAAATAAATTTATTTAATAAAGTGTTATATAAATATTTAATACATTATATTATACCATTAATTTATATAAAATGATATTAACTTATTCCTGTTTATAAAATTATTGTAACTTTTTTTCGGTTTATAAGCATGTTGAATTCGTGTGTCCATTATTAAAATATATGTAATTTACTATTATTGATATAAATAATTTTATAAATATTTTAATTTATTACATTTATAAAATTATTTGTAATTTATTCACCTTTATAAAATTAATTATAAATTATTTAATTTATTAAAATGATTGTATCAATAATTTTTTATTTTATCATAAATTTTTATAATTATCATTTATCATTAAATTTTCATGATTACCATTTAATATTTTTTTATCATGATTACAATTATAAAGTTAATTTGAAAAGATTATGATATATTTTAGTTATTTCATAAACTTAAAAAAATTATCAAATCTCAATTGATTTTGTTTTGTTTTATTAACCTTTTTATAGAAATTGAAATAATTTATTTTAGGTCAAATAAGGATCTAAATAATTACAAAATAATATTTATTCTTACATTTATAGAATGATAAATTAAATATTTAAGATAAACATTAGAGTTCTTATTTACTTTATCTTTTATATATTTATAATATACTTTTTTTGTTAATTTTATTAACAATATATTTATAGTTAACAATACATCCTTTAAACTACGTTATTTTTTTCAAGAATATAAATGTAACCTTTCAAAAAATATACACAAATATATTTAGAAGTCGGTAGAAAATTTTATTGGTTAAATTATAATTCCATTCAAAATTTATTGATCATAAATTTTTGAAATCAAATCATGCATAAAAATAAAATGTATTAATGTGACCATTCAAAATATTTTCTATATATAATAAAAATAAATAATATTAATACCTCCATTCAAAAGATATTTTTGTAAAGTTTTGATTTAATTGTTTTCATATCTTTATATATTCTAATGTATATAATATTCCTACAATATGAAACAGTATCAAACCTATAATATTAAAAGAGAATTCAAATTTTATTGATCATAATATTTTATGGAATCAAATCATGTATAAAAATTAAATATATTTATGTCACCATTCAAAATAATTTCCATATAAGTATAATAAAAATAAATGATAATAATGTCTCCATTCAAAAGATATATTGGTAAAGTATCGAATTAAATGGTACTCCAATATTTGATTAAAAAATTGTAATATTTGTTTTTAATATTGTATAAAAATATATTAATTAGTCGTACTTTAAAAAAATAAATCGTAAATATATATGCGTGAGCTTTGTATTCACCAAGACTAAACAAATAAAAAAAGCCAAAACTAAACCTCATATTTTAATTTAAAAAATTAAAAAAATTGAGAAATAAAATCCGAATAAAAAAAAACATACCTAACAGCAAAAAATAAACAATATCATGGTTGTGTTGTTCGTCACATGCAAGCCCAAAAATCCCCTTCTGCAACTCTCAAACCTAAAGATAAAGATATCCCATTTTAGGTGTCAAGTTAAGCTTTTTTTTTTTTTGGAAAAGGAGAAATAGTAAGACAACCCTGAAAACGAAAAGATATTCCAAACTACATTTCAGTTTCAACTTTCAATCACATGTTTCAATCACTCACCTTCGTCACTTACATATGTATGAATCAAATTAACGTTAAAAATTGCATTTGAAGGAAATTCTTTTATAGATCTATAACGGGTGTTGTTGGTTATTGATGTTGTTGAGATTCAGAGGTCTTGGTTGCGACCACCATTCTTACGCTTGAACATCTGAAACAAATAAATTAACAGGTTAGGGTGAGAATATTAGATGGTTGAGATTACAACGAAACGAAATTGGTAGCAACAAAGAGAGAAGAATGAAAAGAGATGGAGCGGCGCAGGAAGAAGATGAAATTAGGTTTTCTGATTTGTGTTTTAATAGAGTTGGGTGAATGAGTTATTTGTTGCATCTTGGGAAAAACGATTTCTTTGGTTGTATAGATTTACCGTTTCAAGAACTCAACATTTATGATGGTTGTTCATCTTGTGCTGTCAATTTAAATCTTGCAACAAAAAACGTGATTAGGGTTTAGTGGAATAATTAGAATTTCAAAACCCAGTGTACGTAGCAGCTATAATATGAGTGTTTTAATTTAAATTTTAAATTGAATGACCTTTGGTTTGGATGAGGGTTTTGGGAAGTGGTATGTAGCACATAATTAGGTGTGATTATAACGTGTAAATATAAACAAAATGGCATAATTGTTGTTAGTTAGAAATAATTAAAAAAAAGTAAAAAGTGGCAGAAAAAACCATAGTGTGACACATCAGCCATATTTATTGTCAAATCAATATGGTGCAAGTATTTCAGAAAGTTACAAATATACCCTTAGATTAAGACTAAATTGAAATTTACTAATTAGGGTATTATTGTAAGTTAATGGTACTTTGGTTTTTATATATTTATAATAGATAGATAATAGATAATAGATTTACATTTTTTTACACACTACAATGTATGACAGTTGTTAAATTTCAATTTTAAAACCTTCTTATTAGATCATATTTACAAACTTTACAAATCTAAAATGTATGAGAGTACCCCGTCAAAAGTTAGTAAACTATGTAAATATACTTATGCAAATTCAACATGAAGATTAAAATCAAACCTATAATCTAATCTTCAAAATAAAAAAAATCATATATAAATTTATTGTAAAATTTTATAAATAAAAATTTAAGTTAAAAAACAAAATAAAATCATCAAATTTCCATTAAAAACGTGAGAGCGGACCAAAACTTTTTAAATTTAAAATAAAGAGAATATTTTCGTGAATCAAATAAAATTGGAAATTAAAATTTAAATATAGCTTTTTATATTTTAGATAAACTAAATTTTTTGACAAAAAATTTTTATTAAACCTATTTTAAATATATTTTGGTATCACTTTTTATTATATTTATTTATATTTTATTATTTTTTAATGTAATGTCATTAATTTTTAAATCATCCTAATTAAAAAATATGATTAGAGAAATGTATATAATTAGTTTATATTTTAAAATTAATTTTCAGTAAAAAAAAGTAATATTATTTAAAAATAATTTACGCATAAAATAATTTATGAAATATATTTTTATATCACTAAAAATGCATATCCAGTTAAATGCAAGTTGTATGCAATAAAGATTTATTAGGAAAAAATATTATTAAATACATATGTCTCTAAGAAACAATGAACAACAAACTTCATAGTCCCCTTCTCATCCACATGGATACTCATCCATGGGCACCTAGACGTTTGTCGCAGTTAGATTTGGAGAAGGCTCTTTCCACTTCACGGACGATGGTTGCTCCAAGTGAATACGATGGATTGAACCAACCATCATCATCAAGACGGACATTTCCTGTTGATTCAGGTGATTATCAAGTTGCAATCAATGAATGAAGCTTAAGGAGAAATGGATGAAGCTTAAAAACACAATGATAGTATATTAATCAATCTTCCAGAAATTTGTAGATAAAAACCACACAGATGAAAGTCTTGATGGTAAGAATTTGAAACATACATGCAGAAGAACTATCTGGTGGATTGAATCGCCTAACAAGAGCTGGTTTATTTCGCAGACTCGCCATTACAAAATAAGGATTACATGAACTTTGTGAAACTGGAGGATAATCCCCATCACTTCCATTCTCTGAGCCAAAACCAAAAATCCAGAAAGAGGTTTGAGAAACAATCATCGACAATCAATGCAACATATCATAAATAGACATAAACATAACCAAATCGATAGCCCCAACACATTCTAGTTATACCAAATCGCCACCGGGTTCAACGACGCTTCCGATTAACGTCAACAACGTCGGGTTCTTCAGCGATAGCCAAACTTGAAAGTGTTCCAAAGCAAAATCTGAATAAGTAACCAAATTGATTAAGATAACACGAAATATGAATAAGTAACCAAATTGATTAAGATAACACGAAATATGAATAACTAATGAAATTGATTAACATAACACGAAATTGATGTATTTATAGTTGTGGAATTTTGGTTGCAAAGAGGAAAACTTCGGAATTAAAAAAAAATGAAAAATTTGACTCAAACAATAGTATGTGCCGACACGAAATGTCAAACATTGACACGTGTGCCGACACATTAGTGTAAAATTTAAATCATGTGCGGACCTGAACAAAACTATGTGTCAACACATGCAAACAGAACCTAAAGGTTTCAATATTGTAGTTCAAATCCCATAAATAAAAAAAACAATATTAAAATGGCCCATAAACTATTTTAGAGTTGTTTGTTATAAAACAAAAATAAAAGTAAACGAAAAGAAAAAAAGTGCATATAAAATGTTGATAATTCAAAAACTATACAAGAAACAATTAAGAAAAATAAACAAATGCTTGTATGGTATGGTACGAGAGTTTGAGGGAGAGGGAGAATCTGAAACTCAACTGACTTAGAGGGAGAGGGAGACGTTTGCTTGGGAAGTGAATGTTGAGAAGTTAGTATTTGCAGGTTACTTGCTTTTAGTCCCACATTGACTACTTAATTTAATATTGAAGCGTTTATATAACACAGTTAAGTCATATCAGTTCGTCCCTTCGGGGACATCCGATAAAATTGGAACGATACAGAGAAGATTAGCATGGCCCCTGCGCAAGGATGACACGCACAAATCGAGTTCTGTGTTAGAGAAAACATCAAATTCCTAAGCTTTCAATTGAATTCTGTGTTAGAGAAAACATCAAATTCCTAAGCTTTCAATTGAATTCTGTGTTAGAGAAAACATCAAATTCCTAAGCTTTCAATTGAATTCTGTGTTAGAGAAAACATCAAATTCCTAAGCTTTCAATTGAATTCTGTGTTAGAGAAAACATCAAATTCCTAAGCTTTCAATTGAATTCTGTGTTTCTGTCTAAATCAAATGCAAATTCACCACATCATAGCTATCAATTGAATTCTGTGTTCCAGAAAACCCATTTGTCACTTTTGATGATGTTTGGCTATTGCTAAATGATGCCCGTCTTATTTATAGCTGCAGGTAAATGGAAACCCATTTCAAATGTTTTCAACAACAAACAAGCTAAAGCTCTCAAGATTTAAGGTATCACTATCTTTTGATGCTTCACTAAGTAAGTCATTTGTGATGGATGTCAAGGAAACTTGTGTATTTTTATACTCTTCATTCAACAGTTTCTTCAAACAGAAATTCATTATTGTTAAAGAATGCTGTCCATGACATGAGAGATCCACATGGTATTGTCTTTTAATGTCTCTCCATCAAGTTCAATTACACTGCATATGCATACCCCACTTTCTCAATGAAAGCCTAGCAGATTAACCACTCTGAAGTCAAATTGCTACTCATACTTTTGTACTAGACATCTCACATGTTCTCTTCATATCGATAACGCGGTTCAATACCCATATATAGCTACTCTTGTTACCGTGGATTATAATCGTTAGTTGCCTACAAATCATTAATATTAGGTGGATTATAATCGTTAGTTGCCTACAAATCATTAATATTAGGTGGATTATAATCGTTTGTTGCCTACAAATCATTAATATTAGGAGGCTACACGGAACACATATAGAGGGATTGGTCATTAGTCATGCTCACCACAAGATAGATAGCAATTGAACAGTTATTGGGAGACTTTTCATAATTTTATGGGATTGGCTTCTGTTTTAAAATCTAACTAATTCTGCGCCTATGATATTAATACATGCTCTCTGCAGACTCTCTTTAGTCATGCAGTTCAGCCCCCGAAACATGTGACCTGAAATTTTTATTGTCTCCTTTGTCTCTTTACTAAATGTAAACTGAATACTCCAAATGCAAGCAGTTCATCATAATCTTTTGATTAGGAAAATACATAATAATATACACTTTTATGAATGCTGGAGGATGCTAGGAGCTTTAAGTAAAGGGTTGCCGCTAATTGAGTGCTACCGCTGATTGAGTGCACAGGAAAGTCCTTGCGATTGCCGTCTCTACCACTTTCGTTAAACATCAAACGAGAAACGCAACATACAAAATCATCGGTATGTTTCTTTTTTTTCATTTTCATTTCACTTCTACTGACCTACTTCCAATGTTCTATCATGTGCTAAACAAATCGGTGATAGTCGGAGGAGCTTTCTTATATATTATAGCATAAATATTGCTCTGCTTAGATGAAGAAAGCTCAAGACATGTGAACACGTGACTCGTGAGCTTAGATACAAGATATAGCTTATCAACTATTAGAGTCTGTGTGAATGTTTTATTAGGTTTGAGAAATTCGCAGAAACATTCGAGCTAGGTTTTGGTTACAGCATGTAGTACCCTTATGTCATCATTATAATAAACCAAGGAAAACTATGTTTGTATTTATAGCTTATAAATAGAAGCAGATAGGAGTCCATTGAGTTGTCGAATATATTGTGTCATTATGATTAGGAATAAGTAATAACAAATAATCTCTTCCTGAATTTGTCATTCAGACGGACAATTCTAACCCGTTCCAAGGATAGGAAAAGGAAAAAAATCTATACAAATCTAAATGATGACTATTGTACAAAATTTCTATGCTAATCTATGCCAGTCTCCTTTAGTGTAAGATTTATAGGCTATTGAAATGAGAAGTAATATCCAAGAAAACATCTTCTCTGCAAGGAATTGAGAGGCCGCCCATCGGATGATCATATCCGGAATTTTCCTCAGCTTGACTCAACAGGTTTTGAAATAAAGGTTGGTTCAAGTATGAAAGGGGGATGACAAACCGCTTCATTTCCTCTCCCACGTACACTGCAAAATAGCCCTTGGGCACATTTGATACTTTTGATGATGTTTTGATATTGCGATGTGAAGACCGTCTAATAGCAGCAGGTAAAAGGAAACCCATTTCAAATGTTTGAAGAAAAAGCTGAATTTCTTTGATGTAAGAAAAATGTATCTGAGTTTATTTGCTTGAGAGCTTTGTGATGGTTGTGAAGGAGGGCACTATATTTATAGTTTCCAAGATTTTCTTGAAATCCCTTTGCTAGAGAAATGATTTTTGAATGATGGGGGACATGAGATGAGAGATCACATGGTGTTGTCTTAGATGCCTCTGTCAAGGATCAATAAGTTCAATAAGAGTGTAAACCCCACCTTCTGAATGAAAGGCCAATTTTAAACCAACTGCTTGTACTATGCCTACTCATTTCTTTTCAGACATGCCTCAAACATGGTACGTGTTATCTTATCTTCACATTGATCACATAATGTTGATGTCTTACGTGAAGAATTTTGAGAAATATCATCCATAAACTAAAACACTGTTTATGAATTGTGCATATTTATTGTTCTTGACTTAGTTCTTTGTTGGAGACTAAGGTTCTCAAGAGATCACATGATAGTGTCTAGAGGTCTTTGAGAAAGTAATTAAATGTATGTCCTACATTAAGAAGCCCTGCCAACATGAAACTACTAATTTTTAAACCGTTGCAATGACGTTATTATTATGTTTCAGTCAGGCTTAAGACATCTTTAATTTTCTTCAACAATTAATTTTGATATGTTTCGTACACTCGCATTTTCTAACTTTTAAACTATATTAGTTTATTCTATAAATTAATTTAGCAGACATAGAGAAGAATGACTATGGTCAATTGTTGGGGACTCGAAAAAGAGGATAGAAACCCAAGTTTTGTTTTCTTCCAGAGATGAATTTATCCCATACTTCTACATTTAAAATGATTTAAAATATATGGTTGAGCCAAAAACCTTTTTAATATATGTTGTAACTATGAAAAACCTTAAGAAGTAAATATAAAAGTTTTATCAATAGTGATTTACTACTGCTTGTATTTGAGTTTTTGTTGAAAGAACACAAATCACAATTTAGAAGCCACTCATATCAACAAGTGCATTGCATACTTAACAATGAAAGAACTAGAGTCACAAGAGGATCTACGCAAGAATTTGTTTGAGGTTATGTGACAACTCACAATGAGTTTTGTGTTGCATGCTTTGAATATCTATTGCACCAAGAGAAATGACAAGTATTGCACCAACTAAATATTTTGAGGATGATTGACCAAGAAGATATTATCCTTACATAAAGATGAAAACATTTTCATATACTTATGAAATAATATTATGATGAATAACATGTTCATTACATTCAATAAAGTGTTTCCATGAATCAACTGAGTAAAAAAATATATTTATGGAAGAATATGATATGCACTATTACAATCATCATAAGAGAATGTTTGTCGGATGTTTAAAAGTTCACAATCTTCCCCAAATTCAGGTTGTTCCCAATCTTCCTCAAATTCAGGAAGATCACAATTATCAAAAAAACTCATGAATAAGAATATATTTGAAAGTATGAAGTTATTGTTCACTCATTGTTCTAGTAATATTTTGATTTGAAATTGGCTAGTGGAAATAATATACATTACATTAGAATGATCATTGCAATTGATGTCAAGCATTGTTAATCCTGCAATCTAGGACGAGTCACACTCAACCATTATTAATCCTGTAATTTAGGCTAAAAACTTCGAGTTTAAAGTCTTTCGGGTGTAAATCGACCAGCATAATCAATCAGGCGAAAATCCAACTGAGTAAAAAAATATATTTATGGAAGAATATGATATGCACTATTACAATCATCATAAGAGAATGTTTGCCGGATGTTTAAAAGTTCACAATCTTCCCTAAATTCAGGTTGTTCCCAATCTTCCTCAAATTCAGGAAGATCACAATTATCAAAAAAACTCATGAATAAGAATATATTTGAAAGTATGAAGTTATTGTTCACTCATTGTTCTAGTAATATTTTGATTTGAAATTGGCTAGTGGAAATAGTATACATTACATTAGAATGATCATTACAATTGATGTCAAGCATTGTTAATCCTGCAATCTAGGACGAGTCACACTCAACCATTATTAATCCTGTAATTTAGGCTAAAAACTTTGAGTTTAAAGTCTTTCGGGTGTAAATCGACCAGCATAATCAATCAGGCGAAAATCCTACTGAGGACCCGAATGTGCACTTTTCAGTGTTTGTGTAATTCGCTGACACGCTGAAAAGTAATAGCGTTGACCCTGAAGCCATTCAGTTGTGATTATTTCCTTTCTTCCTAAGAGACAGGGTCAGATCTTGACTACAGTCTATGCCGTTAAAGAAATCAAATTACTTGTTTCAGATAAGAAACCAAATTACCTGTTTCAGACAGACCGACAATGAATCTCTTTTTGAAGCATGGGAGCGATACAAAGACTTGACGAGAGCATGTCTGAATCACATGTTAGAAAAATGGTTAATAATTCATACATTTTACGACAATTTTCTTTACAATACAAGAATGACTGTTGATGTCGCTGCGAGAGGAGCTTCGGTGGACAAACCCTTCCAAGAAGCCTACCAACCCATCGATAATATGGTCCAGAACCATTATCAGTGGGGGAGCAAACACCCTCCTGTAGAGAAAATGCAACTGAAGGGAGGTATGCAGGAAATTAGCAACTTTAGTCATATGAATGGAAAAGTCGATGCCCTTACCCATAAAATTGATAATCTTAGTATCAATCCCGCAACCATCGTGGTTGCAGTAACTCCCCAGTGTGAGATATGTGGAGTCATAGGACACCTCATTGTTGAGTGTCAATTTTTAGCTAAACCAACCCCTAACCAGGCCAACTACGCAACAAGGAAATCCGTATTCCAACACGTATAACCCTAGATGAAGAAATTACCCTAATTTCTTCTACAAAAATAAAATACCATGTTTGCACCCAGTCATGTACCTACTACTCTTTCAGGTTTCCAAAATAAAAAAGGAGCCCATGTTGCTCCCGCTGCCCCTAAAAATGTCAAACTTAGAACTAATGATATAGAACTTTGTCTTGTCTCAAACTCAACAAAATAAAGAGTTCACGGATCAGAATATTCATCATTGACATCATTTGTTCCCTCATATAGAGTTTGGAGAGCGCCCCACATATCTTTGGCACTTGTATGATGTGATATATCATAAAATACTTTCGCGCTTAAAGCGGAGATAAGTATATTTCTCGCTTTAAAATTATATGAATCCTTTTTGGATTCATCATAATTCCAATCTTTTAGGTGTTTTACAACTCCATCATCACCCATAGGGAAAAATGGTCTCTTGGTGACGACACACCACATTTTTTTTCAATTGATAATAAGTGTACGTTTATGATCGATTTCCAATAAGTATAATATCCACCTCTAAAAAATGGTGCTCTATTGTATGTTCCCTTTGGATCGTCATTGTCTGAAATATTCTCAAAAAAATTGGAGTCAATTAGACTTAATCAAAAGACCATCTCTTGATGTCAATTGTTGGGTGAGAATATGGAGTAATAAAATAGTCTAAATGGGGGAGGGGTTAATAGTAGGGGTGGGAATAACAGGGGGTTACAACCAAGCCTACATAGACCAAGTTTTTTAGATAGAAAAGGATGATGCTTTTTTATAAGCTTGTTTAGTTAAATAGGTCAGACCACAGACCATACAAAAAGCCTTATAAGCCCATCAGGTCAAAATGGAGCGGGGCAGGGTGGTCATAGTTGAGGATGAGGGCCTAAAATCTAAGTCCATTCTGCAAAAAAAGTGAGTGCAAGACGGAGAAAGCCCGCGGACACTACATCTTTTAAGCCTAAAAATGAAAACCATTATGTTAATATTTGTGCCCGTAAAAGCCCGCGTAAAAAATAGGACGGGGCGGGACAAACACATTAGAGAGTGAGAGTCTAAATTCTAGGCACGTCCTGCACTAAAGTGCGGGCAAAACGGGCATGCCCAACGGGCCAGACCCGTTTTCCCACCCTTAGATATACCATGCTGGACATGCCTCGAATTCCAGCTACTTCACTTTATGTTTTTATCTATTTACAAGTGTAAAATAAATGATCTAATATTTCAGTTTCTTCAAAAATCTGAGGGATAAGATAATCAGATTTTACTATAAAAACACTCGTTGAACAAATTTCACACAAATGTTATCTTATTTGTAGCCCTCCCACCGTCGAATGCATCATTTTTTTTGGATGGATTGCAAAACTGGAAAAAAAAAAGTTCTTCTACCTTGAACAAAACATTTTTCAGCTTTTGCAATCCATCTCAATCAATGGTGTTTATGATGTTGTTGTTGTTGAAGATTTTAAACAACTATGATTTATTCCTAAAAGTCTTTAATGATGAATTGCAAGTGCAGAAAAAATATTTTCCATATTTTTGAACAAACACCTTATTAGAATTTGGATGCATTCAAAGCATGCATATTATATACGCTAGTGAAGGCAGTGATAATGATAACATCAACAAACAATCTTGGATGCAAAATCGTGACATCAAGCATCAACGCCTATATGATGGATTGCAAGTGCAGAAAAATTATTAACGAGAATTGTTTTAAAGAATTTATTTTAATATTATGTGTAGACAATGTAATATTAAAAAAATTATAATAATAATTATCACCTCAATTTTTAACTTTACCTCAGATAATAGTTAAACAAAATAACAATTGTCACCTCGATTTTATAACCTTAACCAAGATGATAGTTAAAAAAATAATAAATAATAATAACATTACTTCGGTTTTATAAATAAACTGAAGGCTATAATATACAGGTGCTACTATAAAAGTAATCGCTAGATTTTACCCTAATTCGT